GTGCTGGTGTGGTTGAAGAGAAAGCCGCCCAGAGCTCGATGATGATGTATTTTCTGGAAGACGGGAGTTCATCGCCCTCGCTCTGAGCCGCTTTCATCCCCTTCCGAATTGCCCCAACCGCCTTCCACGACAGATTTTCACCGTCCAAAAACACATCAAACAGAGCGAATGCTGCAATTTGCTGACTTAGGAATGTCAATGTGAGTACAGTTGTCGCCATGGTGCTCCTACCGGTGCCAAGTTGTGCACCTACCGATACTTCCTGTAGGCTGTGAGATTATCTGTGTGTGTCCTTGCATTTTAGTTCCATTCTTGGATGTATTCTTCGGTGCGACTAGTGTGTCGCCCGCGACGGTTCGGGTCCATTGCAAATTGCCATGGCAGAAGATTCTCGTTCGCAAAATCTGCCACATTTGTCGATTTTTTGTGCAATAGCCGCATTATATTAAGTTCAAGTACAAATTCAGTTCACAAACATACACTACAGGGAACAACGGAAAACCTTCCCCCGTGGTACTTGTGTAATATCATGATTTATTGATAACGTAATACTATTTCGACGTTGGGTTTTGCTGGAAATATTATTGCATTGTACTTTTTCTGCTTATGATAACTGCGTTTTTATTGGCCAAAATTTTGTAATTTCGACGTCAATGAGTGATCGCGACCAACTTGTTGCGACCAAGCAAAAGTACTACTAGTACATTCACAACTAGTTAATACTTCCAGTAAACCAAACCGTCACTGAGACTGAGCCTTTGTGGACGAGAGATTGGATACCCCACAAGGCACTTCACCCCCATTGGCAATCCTTGGTGCATTATGGCAAGCCTCTTCTCGGCTACGGACACCACAGATTTTTCGCGGATCACTGATGGTAGATCAGCTTGCTCGTCAGATGACCCCACGTCCAGAGAGTGATTCGACGAATCTAATTGTCTCGGACGATCATATATTATTTCGTGTTTTGTATTGATGTCTGTATTGTTCAGATTCAGCGAGTCATACAATTTGGGCAAATACTACAGGCCTGCGTTTTCGCTGCTGGCAAACCAATGTTACATGAAATCGGGAGGGGTGTTAGTGCGACTTGTGAGAACAGTCTACGGTTTTTATAATCCAATTGCGCAATGTTGAAGTAAAACGTTTGTCAAAACAGCGCACCAGATATATCTATTGTTGTGAGTGAACGAATAATTGTCCCAGGTGCAATGAGGAAGGTAGAATTCATGCTTTAACTTAATTAATGATTGAGCAAAGTTGTATTCTTGGTGCGATAAGATGAAACTATATCGCTCTGGTGCGATGTTCAAAATATTTCTAGAATTAGGTAAATATGGTAATAGTTAAAGAGGGGTCACAGCGAATGACAGCGGTCACCATAATCGCACAGCCGAAAGGCAATCTTACTCTGACATCTTGTGCACCTAAGTTGATCACTTACGGATAATACCATAACACATTTGGATAATAGCATTCTAAGTATCAGTAACAAAGCGTATAGTTTTTGTTTGACGACAGCAAGATCAAGTTTATCATATGATGTGCTTGGATGCAGATACTATTGTCATCGATTGGTAAAAAAATTGAATTTTCAGAGGATGATTTTGGACGTCCATTGACGAGGCATGTGACCCCATTGACTGAAAACATGCATATATTTATACTATGGTTGAGAACCGAAATATTCTAACCGGAAGGTTATTATATCATACAGTGTTTCTAAGGTAAACTGTTCTTTGGATGTTGCACCAAACACGTTTTGATACAGAGAATTATTTGTGAGAGCACATCAAAGTAGTACGATAATCTGGGCTCACACGTCTTGTCACACACATCAAGGATAGGTATTGCTTAGGTCATACTTCAAATTACCTCGTCGATATCATCCGGATATGTATACGGATGAACTGTTCAGACGACATCAATATCTCTGCCTCAAGTTTGCGGACTCTGCCAACGTCGTGCTCCATAGGGAGCAGTGTCAAAACGAGCGGGCGCAATAGTCATGGGACTGCCTCGGCCTCGCCCACTGATTGGCTGTACCGGATACTTGTACTCAACATTCTTTATGAGTGTGCATGGAACGAGAACAAGAGGAGTGCAAGGCTGATGACAAGGAACAGGTAAAAAGCATCACTATTCATTCTCGGCGCCAACATCGATGTCATCGAAGATATCTACGATGTCATCGCAGCGTATCTCATGGATGTCCATTTGTTGCAGGAGCGAGGCAATTTCTTTGCTTGCTTGGCAGTCGTTGTTGGTGCTTATATCTGCTTCGCTGGATACATTTATTCTCGCCATCAATCAAGTTTCTCATGACAAACCCACGGACAATTGTAGACTTTTGAAGGGTCTCCCATACCTCTTTCACCTACGTATCAACCAAGTCGAATCGTGAAGATGAGTTCAAGGAAACGTGTCTTCGTCATATTTGTATTTTCCATATTCAAGCCGCAAGTAGGTCACCCAGCGCTCGCGTATTGCAGCCTTTATTGACTTCATCCCGCAATATCCAGGTAGGTGTCGCCATCTTCGAGTTACCCACGTACACAAAATCCCAGTCACTGGCTGGTACATTCATGTAATGTTGGCGGAATATTTCCAGGAAGGCATTCATTGTTGGTGCCAAGGCAACCACATCGTCACACAAAGGAGCACAAAAATCGTCGTAGTAGATTCAGGTCGGATCCGCATTGTAGATTTCTTCAATTTCTATGGTGACGGTCAAGTTGCGTATGCGGCTGCTAAACTTTTTCAACGCAGCTTGACCACGTACAAAGTTGAACTGCCCCGAACTTGTCTTCGCTCGCATAGTTAGCTTCAAGCGTTTCATAAAACTCGTAACCCAAGGCTGGCTAGCTTTGAATTCGTGTTCGTTGAGCCCAGCGTGGCAAAACACGTTGGGCGCCTTACATTGCAACAGGAAGCGACTAACAGGAATTCCGTCTGAACGACTATAGTTAAACCAATTGACAATTTGTTCTTCGTGCTCTTTATCGAGCGTTGTTTCAATGCCGATGAGGCGTGATTTATTTTTGCGACGCGGAATCAGGGTTACTCGCTCTCTTCGTTGTATGAGCCTTGTTGGTTTCCCAACGGGGCACTCTTTTTGTGCGGTCAGCCGTGCAGTGCCTTGAGTCTCACCAAAGGGGGACTGTACAAAAGGGTCAAGTGCGGGATCCATTGAGTGCTCTTTTCTCCAATTGACTTTGTAGAGCTGCTTGGCGTATGTGAAGTGCAGTCTTTATGCTGTGGAGGGCCAATACGTCTGCGACTCTTGACCACAGTTCTTCCCGTTCCTCTTCGGTGCGGTGTGGAGTTGTCTGACGATGACATGCTAACTTTCGCGCCTACTTGGCATTCAAATGCATTCTCTTGAAACGTGATATTTGCTTTATTCCACAGGCAGCTCAGGTGAGCAGGTGATTTCTGAATTCAAAATATGCCATTAAAATTATGTATATTCACACACGAATAAAGTAAAATACATAAAACGTAGTGAACCATGGATCGGTCACTTTGGTGACGAACTTTGATTTGTATAACTTCATGGAATAATCTCCGTTAGATCCTGTTCGAACAACTTTGGGATGTACAGGCTTCTGCCCATGCGAGGTGGTTCAGATGGGATGTTGCATTGTTGAGCTTGAGTAACATGGGTTCGGTATGGTTTACCGTAGCTTCTGGCAATCTTCACCATGGTGTCAGTTTTGTTGATTACATCGTTTGCTGCGCTAGCATGGCATCAGTCGAGTAGGCTGTTTTCGGCGCCACGCACGAGTTCAAACTTTGAAGACCTTGGATAATTTATCTACTTTCCCACCACTTAGTCATGGAGGTTGTATTTTTGTCCAGTAAGATCGCTTTTATATATTCATTAGCCGTCAAAAAGTGACCGATCATTGGTGAAGTGACTGATCAATGGTTCCCTGCGTTACTGTAACTCCCTCTATCCCACAAATATTGCGCGAGTTATAGGAGGGTGTACATGACTGACAATTGAATGTTCACGTTAAATTCAGGCTCTGCGTATGCCTCCTTAGTCCGGGAATCGACACCTCTGATTGGATCTTTGAACGGAGCGCGTCAAGAGCGTTCTATTTGTGTAAACTTGAGCGTGAATATCAAAAACGTGGGTCATTCTTGCCGAGTCAAGGCAGCATACACACTTCCATATAAAACATACATCAGAAATGACACACATTCAACATGTCATCAACACGGCCCGACTTGACGAACGAGGAGCGCGACGCCATCCTTGGGAAGTCCTGCTCCAAAGTAACTGCAGTTTTCCCACCGGGCTACGTAAAGGCACGAGCCAGTTGCTGGCTACAAAGTATCAGTGCCACGTGTCTACTATACGCCGAATCATTGCTTTAGCCAAGACCCAAGGCGTTTCTCATGGTTACAAACAAAAAGAAAAGCAAAGTAGGTAGAAAAGTGGCTTGCACTGCCGAGCAAGTTATGGTCAAGGTGCTACAGGTGCCTCTTGTACGACGAACAACGCTTCGTTCAATCTCTGAAAACACTGTTATGACAGAATTTGCGACTTCATCTAAGCATAATGGGAACCAGTTGTGGCTCATTGCACAGACACTTGAAACCCGGTATGTTCCGTGCCCACTCCAACGCGATACGGCCAGTGTTAACGGGTGCTAACCAGTACTGCCGCGTTAATTTTGCTATAACAATGGTCAAGACGGGTATGCATCTGTCGGACTTGCAACACTACGTGCATCTGGACGAGAAATAGCTTTATCTTACAAAGTCCAATCGTAAGTACTACCTCGTTCCTAGGGGCGCGAATCACAACGAACATGTAAAAGAAATAGGTACTTTACCAGAGTTATATTCCTCAGTGCTGTTGCAAGATACATCGACGTAACCAGCACGTGGAGGGACGGCAAGAAAGGCCATTAGCCGTTCGTCGAGTCGGTGCCCGCTCAACGCGCCAGCGTCATCCGCCCGACTGGTACCTACGAAACCAAGTCAGTGATGGTTACAAAGAATATACAGTATATCTTGCCTTCCTTATCGAGAAAGTCCTACCCTCGATTGCAGTAAAATGGCCAAACCACAACATGACGGTGGTTCCACAGCACAAGAATGCCCGGGCCCACGTCACCCCCATGGACGCGCTACTCAAGGCCGCCTTCGACGAATACGGCAACAAAAGTAGGCCTTCTCGCTCGTTCAGCAGCCGCCAATCGCCCCGGACACCAACATCTTGGACCTTGACTACTTTGCCGCAATCCAGCCCTTGCAACAAAAGATGTCAGTCAGGTCGATTGTTGAGCTCGTTGCAAACGTCGTCCTAGCATTTGACGAGTACCCCAAGTAGAGCTTGGGACGGACCTACTTATCGCTACAAGCCAGCCTTGTGGAGACAATGCGGCTCTTTGGTGACAATGCCTACAAGTTGCCTCACATGGGAAAAGAAAAACTGGCCCACAAAGGACAACTACCTCAAAACATGCAGTATCCGCTGGATGTGTACCTTGCTTGCAAGAAGAAGCTGGCCGCGCAGGATGCTGTAGCCATGGAACGAGCGGTGTCGGCGGAGGTCGAAGAGGCGAGGTGCCACGACGAGCTGGACCGACAGCATGAGTACATTGCCCAAAGCGACAGTGATGCGACGGACGATATCATCTCTGCAATGGCCGAAGTAGGCATAGAACCAATACGCATAAACATGGACAGTTGATAAATAAGTACATACAAGCGTGTGCGGTGTGGGTATTGCGTGAAGTTGTACGGCCAGGTAGGAAGGATTTCGAGGTAAACCCCCTTCCTGAATCGAATGGCACTGTCAGAAATGGCCTAAATCCGACTTTTGAATGGTTCGGAGACAAGTGCATTTGATTGTACAGCTGTATCGTTACACCCTTTAAAGTTATTCCGAGTATAATAGGCAGATTTCGCAACTTCTGGTTTTGTTTTATCCACGTTCCATATTCTAAAACACAGATAAAGTGCAGGAAAAAAGAGTCCAGGTTTCGCAACCACCCCGCTGCAAACTGCTTTTATCCAGATACCAGCAGCCAATCAAATTTAGCCGAATGTGCAAGTACTACGACGTGAATCAAACACCTAGGGAACTCCAAGGAATGCTGTCTGCTGTCGAAACCGATGCCTTCTTAAGGCGTTGCCGAAAGGGCAACTTTCGCCAAAAGATGTCTTTCTTCGCCTCATCGCTTGCGTTATTGAACGTCTGCTTGTCCCCGATGTTCGTTTTGACCTGCTCAAGCTGTCCGATGTCGACACGATGTTGATGTTTCGCTTCGACGTTGCAGGTGTACAAGCTCTGGTGTGTGCACTTCGCCTGCCCGATGTGATTATCACATCAAGCCGAGACCGATGTTCATCGACTGAAGCACTCTGCATCACATTGTATCGCATGTAGTTCCCGCGCCGCTACTACGACATGATGGCCACGTTTGGTCGATCGAGGGAGTCATTGTGTCGTATTTTCAACGATGTAATTGACGCATTGTATGTGAAGTGGCATCGACTGCTCTATTTCTGTCTGCATATTGTTGCTGGCCGACTCGACATGTACTCAAGAGCCATTGTGTCGAAGGGAGCGCCCACGGAGAACGTATTTGGCTTCATCGATGGGAGCAAATTAGAGACGTGCCGAATCACCCAAAAACGCAAACGCCTTCGACTTGCGTTTTCCAACCTCCAGCGCCTCCTGTACAGCGGGCACAAGCGTCGTCACTGCTTGAATTTTCAGGCTGTGACAGCGCCCATGGATTGTGCGTGCACTTTTGGGGTCCGATGGAAGGTTCGCGTCACGACACAACAATGCTCCGGCAAAGCAAACTGCAAGAGTACTTGGACGAGGACAAACATGTTTTCGAAGGGTATCTTATTTACGGCGATCCTGCGTACGGCGTGCTTGATTGGGTCTGTTCTGGATTTAAGGGCGCGCAATTGGACCAACGTTGTCGTGACTTCAATGCAGCCATGAGCAAAGTGCGCCAATCTGTCGAGTGGACATTTGGTGCTATGAAACAACATTGGGCGATGGTTACCTTCAAGACGCAGCAAAAAGTTATGCTTCAAAATCTTGGCAAGGTAATCGTGGCGGCATTGTTGTTCAACAATTGCCACTGCTGCTATTATGGTGGCAATCAAATCAGCGATTACTTTGGAATTGCTCCTCCATCACTTTAGTGAACATTTAGTTCTACCAGACAGAGTGAATGAATTATATGTGTATTGACCTTTAATCTTTTGGCAACTTCGAAGCTAACTGAATGAGCAACGCCATCATGTCATCGTTTCGTTTCGTCTCAAATTCACGCTGCTGAATTTTGCTCCATGCAGTCCTTCTCACGCTCAGCGAGTTCCATCTGCAACTTGTACTTCTCGAACGAAAGCCGCTCTCTCTTTCGAGCTCAATTTCGCGCTCGTGTGATTCAAAAACTGCTTTGCGTTTTCGCCCAACAACATCACTGTCTGTTGACTCGTCGGTGTCCACGGACTTGACCCTCCCGCTCTTCATTGCTTGTTCTCGGATAAACGAAGCTGCAGCCTCCTTTTCCATTGCCTTGGCATTGACGGCAGCTCGGTCGGCGTTGCGTTGGTCGGTGGCCTCGACGAACAGCTGAACTAGCTCGTCCAAAAGAACAATCTTTCCTGTCTCGTCCTGCTCAACTCCAGACATGTACTTCGAGCTGTTCTGGAATCGCCGATGTGCATGCAGGAGCTGGTAGAACCTGTTCGCAGCCTTCTTGCCATCCAACGACGCGCGGCCAAAACCTGGCGCCTCCAGCAGTTTCGCTGCCAGAGCGTCCCATGCTTTGGTGGTGTTCTTTACTTGCTTAAATGGTAGATCGTTGTCGACTTGTGTGAGCAAACTCAAGTCGTCTGAGTCGCTCCACCATTTGCGCGCTTGTGTGTCAGCGTTGTCGACTCCCTGGTCGCTTGACATCCTCGAATGGCTTGGTCAATAGCCCTGTGATATGCGGATACAGCCAGCCACAAATTCGACCAAGTTTGCGGCCGCTGCACCAAAATTTCACGTGTTGGCTGCAAACTTATTGGATATTGAAGGATAGGAGGCGGAAAAAACAAAACCAAGGTTTGCGAAATCTGCCTAATGTCTTGACGTGACTGTATTTTAATTCGAGGAGTACGTCATTTTTCTGAGTCGCGCCATTTTTGTGGGACAGAGGGAGTACAGAAGCACATTTGAGGTTCAAGAATGGCCAGATTCCGTCCCATCTTGTGCCTCGACAATAAGGGGTAAAAATTCGTGTGAAGGGGCAACCTCGTCTCAGCGACGACTCACAGTACAATCTACCAACGGGCGAGGAGCCCAGCTGTGGGCTAACCGTGGACAATACAAAAGATTTTGCAACTCATCATTATCACTATCATCAGGCTGACTGCCAAAACCAGAAGTCTGCCTCTCAAATTTAGTTAATGATTCTGTCAAAATCAATCGCAAATCACTGGATCTCATGATTTGTACGGACAACTATCATTGTCATCACACGATACCTCCAACACAATAACCAGGCGATGGCTATGCCAAGCAAGCTCCGCAACTTCTCTGACGAAGATGACATAATGCTTCTTCGTCAGGTGTCCATAGAGATGCCATTTGAGGCACGGCGTGGTCTTGTCATAGAACGTTGGAACGCCGTTGCTTCCGCCCTCCGCGAGATCGACGCAAAACGAGCTTGCAACCGATTCATGCTTCTTCAGGATGCGCATCGAAAGCACGACAAGGAGTCTGCGCTTGCATCTGGCGTGGACGAGGATGAGAACGAAAAGATCGTGCTG